TCGATTGAAAGGGTCAACCTTTTTTCATTGCAATATTATACACTAGACTGGACACGGCTTGAGGGCAAAGGTAACATTGAAAAAAAAATTCTTCTTTTTATACATTTACCATTACAAAGTCAATATAACATTTGATTATTTTCTTGTTAATGATAACCATTGATATCAATTATTGAACCATGAATTGTTATTATTACATTTGTATTATAATCAGAGTTAACGAAATGAAAAGTTTCTCGCTTCTCTCCCTAATCATCTTTCAGTTTGACTTTTAAATGGTCAACTTTTATTCACTTAATTTACAATTTGAAACCATTAAACATCAACTGACCATTCCCATAATATCTAGTTGTGATGAGTAGAAAAACTTTTCAAGGTTGGTTTAACCGTTTGCCTACCTTGACTGGAGAACGAGAAAAAAATGGTTCAAAGGAGTGGACCTTTGAATTTATGAGGTGAAGTATTGGGTGAAATGTGAACAGGAAAGGTTCTGGACAACAACTGTTGGTGTCGATGAAAACTGACAATTATCATTAGTCTTGTCATCAATCAAAAAGGTAACCTTTACAAGTAATAATTAGAAGTGAAAAGTGAAAGACAAAAGTGATTAGAAGGGAAAACAAAAGATGATCTTTTCGGTGATCGATTCAAGTTTAATTGTTGATGAGCGGGCTCAGCTTACAATATGGCTTAATCAGTGGAAATGTCTTCATCTGTTCACCAAATGATCAACTCTTTTCATGACTTTTTTTTCAGGAAATGAATTTAAATTCAGTGTGGACAAAGGTACAGTTAGACCGTTAAGTTTACACTTTTGTCAACCAACTACAACATTTGATTCCTTTTTTGTTTCTTTTTTTCCTGGTTTCTTGTTTTTACCTTTCAACAATTGAATAGAGGAAACAGATTATCATGTAAAGTGAGAATGAAAAGGGCGAAAATGATAATTGGAAAATATTGAGATGAAAAATGACAAAAGAGTTGAAGGGTAAGAAGAAGAAGAAGAAGAAAAAATTCTGTCAATTGTGATTAAAGTAGGAAAAGGAAGAAGTAATGAGAATCTTCCTTTTTTTGGCTTCTTTTTGCACGTTTTCAGGTAAAAAATTTGCTCATTTTTCCATTGAACAATCAAAGAGACAAGATGAAACTCAAAGGCAAGATTCAGTGAATCGGAAAATTTTCAATTCTCTTTGCATCACAAAGCGTTTTCTAAACACAAAATTAATCATTGAATGTAAAGAAGAAACAATTGAAAAGTGAATTTCAAAAAATTCTGACATCAACTCAGAAGACCAGATAAAGGTTGAGATGAAAACGCGTGTTGATGGTAAATGAAAGGAAATATTTAAAGTCAATTTTTTCAAGTCAATTTACATTTTCTTTTGTCTTTCAACTTGCACTTCTTCCTTACCTGTGATTACATCTTAATAAGCTTCATCATTTGATTGTTTGGATGCAGAAAAGGATGAAACAATATCTCAAGGTTGATTAGGAAAAGAAAGGAAACAAGTGATGATAATGATGATAATTAGGATGATGAGGTGAGTTAGATTAAACAAGGAAGAGGAAGATCTTTTTTCTCTCTCTCTCTTTACCTTTTACCTTATTAGCCCTTAAGACAAAGCTGACACTTCACTTTACCTGAACGGAATAATCAATTTTATTGTATTTAATTTATTAATAGACACTTTACATTGGTAAACATTTGAACATGAAAAACTTGAAGAAAGAAATGTTTTATTTCTTTTACCGTTGCTCAGGTAAAAGAATTTCCGGAAATTCTTTTTTATCACCAATTTTACCTTCTTTTTTCTTCATCAACTATTTGATGGGAAAACGTAATAATCTGAGCGCACATTTTTATCGATTTCAGGTTAAATCTTGAATCAAGTTGATCACCAAATTGTTGCTCATTAACTGTTGCAAATGTTGAAGTGGAGTTCAAGTGTTTCAAAGCTTCAGGGTAAAGATGAGTCAACAAGAACGATCTTGAATTTATAATAAAAAAAAGGCTGAAAATGATTATAATCATCTTATTAATTATTTAATTTTTACTCGTTTTACTTTTCGTTGCCTTCTCATGCAACAAGAAAATGAATCCGCAAGGTAAATGTTTCCTCAACATTTTTGGTGAAGAAACGAAGGAATTTTATCCGAAGAAGAAAAGAAAAAAAAATTCTAGTCTCAACCCTTTTAATTGCAATTTTCAAGTTTTGCCTTTGGCTTGATTCAACTAAGAAAAGGGTTAAAGGTTAATAAGCGTCGAGGTTGAACAAGGAACAGCGATTCTTGAAAAAATCAACTTCTCATGAAAACATTCAAATTTATTGATACATTCAACTTGGCCATTAAGATTAACCATTAATTAACTGGTGATAATTAAAAGGTAAAAATCAAATTTTTCTCAATTTCCATTTTCGATTGAATTTGTCAAAATTTTTAAGCCTCCTTTTGTTGAAATTTTGACTAATTTTTGAATCAATTTTTAGTGTAAAATTGTTGAAACAAAAAAAAGAAGATGAAAAAATGAAGTTTCCTACAAAAGCTTACAATTCAAGGTAAAAGTCAAGGTGAATGTCAACAGGAAAAGGTGAATGTACTATGAGAGAAACAGCTTTGCTTCCTCATCCATTTAATCTTGTACAGTCGTTACGTTTTTAACCTGTTTTGTCTTGTGAAGCTGACACTCCTGAAGCATCCAGTTTTACCGTCATTTTCATCCTTTTGCTCAATAACCAATTATCATTTGCTCTCATCAAATGAATTTTGGTGATTTATCAAAAAGGTGAAAGTGAATGCAACTTTTTTGTTGTCTCTTGAACACGTTAAACGGTTTAACCTGTAACATAAAATTCATTGAACCAGGCAAATGAATGAAATAAACGAGTCAACACGTACCAAAGATCAACAACATTTGTACGTGTTTTTTATCGACTTGAATAACCATAAGAATCACAATCGATTCAAGTTTTGTTAACCTTTTCTAAATCAGTTTAACCTCAACTCAAAGTAACCACATTTTTGTCAAACAATTAATCAATTATCATTTGTTAACCTTTGAATATGAAACTTGAAACAAACGCATTTTCACCCAAAAAAAGGTGAACATTAATTTGATTGATTAAGGAAGACAAGAAGAGCAGAAAAGGTAAAGGTTTTCATTTAAAGGTTGTTCAACTTGTCATTGAATCTGAACAATATTTGGAAAAATACTTTGGGTGAAAATGTTGATTATTCAGATTGAATTATCGAGTTAGCTTTGAAATGTTTTAATGACAAAAGGTAAACCAATTAAGGTTGATATTGGTGTTTAGTCAAAGGCTTTTCATTGAATTATGTTCATTTTATGCTAATTTTTGTCACTTTAATGTTAAATCCGATTAAATATTGTTTCATAATTTTTAATAATTATTAATCGCTTTCAATTAGAAGTGTTTTAAATCTGAAATGTTTGCTGTAAAAGCTGTAAGATTAACTTGAAAAGGGGAAAATGGCTCAATTTATCTTGTGAATGATGAAGATGATAAATGAAATTGTGATTCAGTGAAGGTTAAAACAGGAAGACAGGGGGAAAACGATGATGAGGAAGACGCTTTTAGTAACTTTACTCTTTTTTTCCAGTTTCTTTACTTCTTTTGCCGCTTCTTTTCATGTTAAATGCACCTGAGAAACGTTTTTAAATAAACTCTTCGTGAGCTTCTTTTTTTATGCATTCATTTCAATTACATCGATACTTATGGTTCATTACTTTAGATAATGGACTGAGCTTTGGTGGGATGAACAATGATAACTGATAAATGATTATCATTAAAAGGTTACTTCAACAATTGAAAAGATTGTTAAACTATGGATTTTCAAAGTTTCAGTATTTCATCAAAAATCAAACATCAACATGTGATGAAGGGAGAAACGTTCAACTGGTGTAATGATAGCATTAGCTTAAGACTAATATTGACATGAAAGTTGAGGAAATGTTTCATTGGATTGATTGGAGTCAAATAAGATTTATTTCAAGAACGATCTTCATGAACGAGTTAAAAGGTGAAACAGATTGAAAAAACTTAAAAATTAAAATCGACTGAAAACGTAAAAAACTTTTGTTTCAATAATGAAATCGCTTTTGTTTTGTGGATTGTTTTTCAATGAAATTCAGTTTTTCTTCCTTTCACCTTCTTTCATGATTTTAGTGATCCTCAATTTAGATGCTAATTTGATGAGTTGATTGATTAGAGGTTAAACTGAATTTTTGAGATTCTGTCCTTTGGTTTTTGGGAAACTGTTGAAGTTTTATTGAGATGACGCTGAGATTGGATTGAGTTTGAAAGATTGAAAATGGGCAAGAATTTTTGGTTTGATTTTTTTCGGTTTTAAGGTGAAGTTAAATTGTCTCTGCAGTTGGGCGAAATGGTCGATTTGTCTTGAATTGATCAACACTAGGAAAGGTTAACAAGCTGGCCACTTTATCGGAGAAGGAAATCTTGGAAACAAAATGTTCTATTATAATCATTTATTTCTTTCTTCCTTGTCAATCAATGGTAAAAATTATTTCGGTCTTTCGGTCAAGAGACCAAAAAGTCTGCCTGACACATAAGCAAATAATCTGGTCAATGAGGATTGACCCTTTACTTCCCGTTTGTCCAACTGATATTTGCATTGGCAAGTCATTTTGTCTTAGAAAAATGTAAAGAGAGAGAAAAAGAAACTCTCTTAAGCTGAATACAAATGCAACAGGCCAACTGTAAATCGCCTCGTGCCAAACGTCTCTTCACCATCAGCACAAGAAGCCCACTTAAACAGAGCATCAACAACAAAAAACGAGTAAAAATAGGAAGTAAACTTTAAAAAGGTAAAGTCTTTTTTTCTGCAAAGTCAATCATTATTATTCATAAACGATAACGGAAGCGTTAAAAGGTGAATAAAAATGTTTGATGAAAGCCATTTTACCCTTTATACTGGTTAATGTTATTGTACAGAAACTAGCAAAAAAAGTTGAATCAACATTTTGTTACTATTGGCCTTTTCCCATAAAAAGGTTTACTGTTTAATTTATTTGAACGTTATTAGTTGAGTTTCCGTCAAGGGAAAAGGTCAAACCTTGGACAGAAGAAGAAATAATTTCAAGTGAAACAAAATTATTGCCACTAAACTTTGTTTTTATGTCAAAGTTGGTTGACTTTTTAAATACTTGGCCAACAGAAGTGGTCAGAATGTGTTCAAACTGGAATGTGTTGGGAAGAGAGAGAAGAAGATTTACAATATGAGAAGAATGATGAAGATGAGGGAAAAGATGCAAAGATATTGGATTGAAATTTCTTCTTCTTCTGCTTCTTCTTTTCTCTTTCTGTATCATTCAAGTTTCATTTGACTCTGACTTCATGTAGGTCTTAGGGTAAAAACAAGGGAAAGTCGGACATTGACCTTAAATGGCCTCTAGGGACTGATCATGGTTACGGTCAAGGACGATTTCTCTTTCTATCTTCTTCTCCTTCTTTTTTCCATCTTCCTCGTCTTCTTCCTCATCTTCACTTACACAATGTCACTCTTCATTATCGATGCATCTTCAAGTCCAAGGTCAGAGTTAAAGGTTAACTTGTTTAAATACTTGTGATCAACTGGAAACTCGAAATTATAATATTAACTGGTTGTAATTACAGGCCATTATCATGATAATCAGATCTTTGATTTATATGTAAATGTTGAAAGTAAAATTACACTCAATTTGCTTTGAAAACGGTCCAAATTGTCCAAAAGTGTTTAAAGATTTGCCTGAAAATAACGAAACATTGGATTAGATTTGTTACAATTTATTCAATCAATTCTGTAAAATTCAAATTTCTTACCTTTTTTCTTGGACACATTTTTTGCTTCCATTTTGGGCCTTTGTTATTTACATTTTTACAGACACACATTTTGTTGGCCCAGAGAGTGGAAAAGGGTAAAATGTGTTTTTTCCTTGACTATAAATTTCTCGTTAATTGTGTGTCCAGTATTGAGGTGAAAGAAACTGAAAACAAAATCCTTTAAAAGTCAATAATACATTACACTTTTACCTACTATAAAAGGCTGATTATTCATTGATTTGCATCATGAACCGATTTTTGTTAATACTCCTTTTTGGACCCTTTACTGTCCTTCTGTCCGGTTAAATACTGTTAACCAGTCACTGGGTCAACCAGTGATAATGAGATGACCATAGGTAGAAACCAGTAGAATAGGAAAAAAAGGTAACCAAAAGAATAGCGTTTGACCCTTTCTCATCATAATCATACTCATAATGAGAAGTCTTTGTTCAGCTTCTTTTCTTACTCTTTTCACCCATTTTTGAGTCTTCTTCTTCTTCTTCCTTCTTTCTTCATCTTGACCCTTTCAACAAATGTCATTGAACACATAAATGACTATTTTTAGCACCACCATGACCAATAATAATCACAATAATAATGATGAACTTAACAAGGCGAAACTGGTGTTAAAAACACATCAACAGCAAGAGACCAGCAAAAGTAAAAACAAATCAACACCTTCAATAAATCCATTCATATTGAACACATTTCAAGTCACAATTTGTACCATCCTTGACACTGAATCTAATTTCACAAGATTTAGAAAATAATTTACGATTAAAGATGAAAAAAGCGACAAAATATTACCTTAAAAGGAAGAGTTAGAAATATACTTTGGTAGAAATGAATTATTAGCGCATTTTTTCAATTCATAAATAGCGCCCTTGAACTTGACGTCAAACCTTCCTTTCCTTTTCCCTCCATTTTATGTAATCTTTTGCATTACCAAACGATATTCATATTTTTGTAACCTTATTTATTTTGCATTTTTTAATTTTATCTTCTGATTTTGATTTAATTTTCATTATTATTTTGTTCGATTGTCTTGTCTATTGTAAAGTGTCAAGTTAATTATGGATCAAATCTGAAAGTGCAACCATTCTATTCGTGTATCTAATGTGTCTTCAACTCTAGTTTCTCCCTTGCATCTTGGACTTGCTACATTTAGTAATTTGACTATTTTATCCAGGTATTTAAAGTGATTTAAAGTGGACAAGCAACTTATTATGTACTTAATTTGATTCTCATTCCGATTCTAAGAACCTAGGGGTGTGTTCGGAAAGTCAACCTTTAATATCTCTCTGTTTTTCATGGTTGATGAAGGTAAAAAAACAAGTTCAATTCATCTCCAACTCTTTATTTTCACTTCAACATATTTTCATCTTGATTGATCTTGATTGTAATTTTAATCTTTTTCTTTTGCTTCTTTTATCCAACTTACACCTTGCAGGTGATTGCGGTTTTGTCTTTTTTTCTTTTCTTTCCTGTAAATATTTATACTTCCCTTTTCATTATCACCATCATGATGATTTAGCCATTTAATATGATAATGATTTATGCTAGTTGAAGTTTTACCTTCTTGTGAACATTAAAAGTTAAATCGTTTGATCCCGCAGGGTTAAACTGTTAATAGATTTCTTAATTGGAGGTAAAAAGGAGCTGGAAAGACAATCAAAAAGACATTTCACTAAACATCAATTGCATGATTTTCAAATGAACAAACTGTTAATTTCAATGGGAAATGAATAGTAATCAATTTCAATTAAGTTATTAAGGTATTCCGAAATTCCGTTTGCTTTAATTACTTGGTGAAAATCAGTATCTAAAATTGACTTGATATTAAAAGACAATTCAATTTTTAAGGCAAGTTTACCATTGAAATTTAACCAGTTTTAGGGCATTTTCGTACATATTTTCTTATTGTTATCGTTATTGTATTGCTGTTTAGTTCGCATTTGTATTTCGCTTTGTTTTGTACACTTTAAGTCAACCTACGAAGACCTCCAATAGTGAATTCAGAATAATCTATCTTCGTCTTCTTTTCAACAAAACTTTGAACAAAATAGTACAAAGCAGATGAAGAAATATAAAAGGTGTATCTATGAGTAAATTAAACGTTGTCCTATTTGTACAGAATCAATGAGCTTTTTATTTTACTTTTTACATTCAAATTATTTCTTCTTCTACTTCTTCTCCTTTATTCAAACTATTCTCAATGAATCAATAAAACTGTCCTCAGGGTTAAAAGGTTAAATAGAGATTGAAAGAACTATCATAATAATAAAGAATCAGTTTAATTCTTTCAACAACAATGATAATAGTGAAAGGAGTGAGACTTCGATTTTTGAGGTTTTCTTCTTCATTATTATAATATGATTAGTAAAGGCAAAACTTTCTCTTTTGTACTTTTTTTTTTATTTTTCTTATTAAACTTTAATCGATTTACAATACAAATGGTCGAGAAAACTTATTGACAATGTTATAATAAGAAAAAAGAAACAACTACAATATCAATCAGTATCAATTTAACTCTCAATGCTTTTCATATTTTTCCCTTCACAGGACAATCAAAAACAACCAGTGGCCAGTGACAAACCGACTTCCAACTTGAATCGCCTTCAAACAAGTAAGTCACTTTAATATTTTATTTTCTTTAAATTTTTAGACTATTATTTATGATTACTTTTTCTTCATCAGTTGATTCGACACAGCTCTTGCTTGCACATGGTTTCATCTTTATTCATGTGGACTTTTGGTGAATCTATCTCTATGCCATGAATTTTGTTCAATTTTAAAGGGAAAACGCATCAGAATCGCGTGTTAAATGGCCAATGATGATTAGCTGCTCGGAATTGAAAGAAAACAAACTAATCAACTTTCGATAATGATGGGTTCAAGTTAAAAATAAAGGTGACTGGAAAATGATAATAATAATGTTAAATGTGGAACAACTGAACTAATAGTAATTGCTGATGATGATTATTATTTACATTTAAAGGGAAACCTTGGGTCCTTGTTGGCTTGTACACCTTAGGGTTATTCGTGAGGAACAGCAGCAGCAGCAGCAACGCGAAAAAATAAAGTCAAAGGATGAAACAAAAGCTAAAGTCAACTCTGGAAAAAGCGTAAAGGTCAAAAACGATAATATTACCAAAGAGAATGAAAGCTTCATTGATGATATCAACTTGGTTTGCTTAAAAAAAATGTTACACTTTTGCTGAGTTCCGAAAATGAAAAAAGGCGAAACTCTTTTTTTGCTGCGTCTCAACTTTTCTTCCTTTGCTATTATTGATGTTATTTTTGGTGTTTTTTACCTCGAGTCTCAAGTTACCCTGGCTCTTTTTTTTCTCTTAATCAACTTTATACCAGCGTTGACCAAACGGTCTGACCATAGGCAATGCTTATTGATGAATCTTGAGTATCTTCGTGCTCCTGTCAATTGGAAAACAATAAAACCTTTTCTTGTATTTGTTTGCCCCTTGTTTATCTCAATAACTTTTACCATTTATTGCTGTTGCTGTTGTTTTTTTAAAACTTACAATATCTTGACAAAACTGACCTTTGGCTAGTCTTTTGTTGGAATTAAATTTCATTGTCACGATAACCCTCATCATGTCTTGTCTGGCAAGGTCAACATCAACATCAGCTTAAAAAAAGGGTATAACATTGGAACCAAATACTCTTTTACCTCTTGTTTCACCTTTCCAAAGTTAATTATCTTCTGTTTTTCTTCCTTTTTTCTTTTGATGGTTAAGATACAAAGAGATGTTGCTGTAGATGCTAATCAAATGGATCTTGTCAGATTATGAATTTCTTTTATTTGGCCTTTTGATCTTCATTTTATCACTGGTTTAACAACATTATTTATAATCAATGGAAGCTTCTCATCTTAAGTTCTTATTGTCAACTTGATAAATCTCACTATTTTTGACGCTTTTCAGCTGATAAACACATTCAAAAATACATTTGGTCCATTCCGTCAAGTTGCAAAGGAAACAAAGCGAACCCCTTCTTGAAGGAAAAATCACATGAAAGGCGCAATTGATTTACGCTAATGATTAATGTTTGATGCAAAATATGTCCATCCACTTGATGATCCGATGAATCTTCATCTTGGTAAAGCCAAACCTTGCCGCCAAGTTTACTGAATCAAGTTTAGTCAATTAATCAGTTTTAAACTGATATAATCATTATAAGACAGAAAGCTAATAATGAAGCTCAAAAAGTCAACATAAAAGGCCAAAACTGAAACGCAATGTAGAAAAAAAAGGAAAGAAAGTTAACGGGGAAGTGCGAAAGAGTAAAGAAAAGAAGAGAAAAAAGAAAGGAAAGTAAGATAATTTGGAGATATCGCCCAGCAGCACGGCCAGCCGAATTGACCTTTTACTGAACGGGTTTTCTTCAATCTTACTCATCAACTGAAAATTCTCTTTCATCACCAATTTTCTTCCCACCAATGATCGTACACTTGATTCTCATCCTTTCAGTTGCATGTGTTTCTTCCAGTCTAATGCAAGTCTTCGCCATCATTACCAACAGCAAACAGCAGAAGCTTCGTCCTTTCATCTCAAATTTGATCTGTGGACAGGAACAAAAGTAAAAACATCTTAAAAACCATTAAGATTCCGAGGTTCAATAAAAAAAGGAAAAACAAAAAATGACCTTTCAATGGACAACAGGACAAGCTCAAGCCATTGAAGAAAAATTACAATATGTGATGAGAAAAGGGAAAGAAAGGAGAAAATGAAGCAAAAAAAGAGATGAGAATAGAGATTTTTTAGCTTTATCTTGCACAAAAAAAGGTCACAATGTCATCTTGCTGGAAACATGGTCATTCGGTAATGATGTATCATAATTACCATCAATCTGTGTCTCTCTTCCTGTTGCTTCATCTTTGGTCATTTCCTTAGCAACTCTTGACCATTGAAATTGATCCTCAAAAGCAGCTCAACTCCTTTCATCCTGCAACATTTATTCACCGAGACTGGCTCTAATCTTACATTTGCTGTAATGTTTGACAGTTCAATCAATTAATGAATTAGGAAGTTAATTGATGGATTTAACATTTTCATTTGAAAGTTATTAAACTGTGATTATGATAAAAACGATGATCAGGATAAAAGTGTAGCAACAACGTTAGTTTTTTTTGCATGATAAAATAATAATAATTATAACAAGTTGAAACGTGATTAGAATCAAAGTGTTTCTTTCTTTAAATACTTTGTTACCTTTGAATCTGAATCTTCCGGAAGATAAATGTTTATTCACAGTTAAAATGATCTGATTTCACAGACAAATAAAAATAAAGGAAGACAAAGAGTGAGAATCATGATGATGTGAACTTGAAATGAAAAGACTGAGAGTGAGTAATTTAGGTGCGTGAAAGGAGTAAATAATATCAACTAACTTGAAGAAGAGGAAAAAAGAAAAAAGAAAAGGAAAAATTAACTTTTAAAATTGGTTTCAAGTCGATGAGTTTAACTTCAATTTTAGTTACACAAGAAGAGAAAAAATCATTCAGTTATCACTGTTCATTATCATTCTGAGCATTATCATGTCATAATATCATCTCTTTACCTTTGAATATGTCAAGAAGGAGAAAAAAAGAAACAAAAAGCGATCTCAAGTTCAGGAAGATAAAGTAAAGTTCATCAAATGTTAACATAATACATTTTGACTAATTTCAGGCCATCAATGATAAAAGCTGAAAATTCATTTTTTTCCAATTCCATGAAATCATTAAAATCATTTTGACTTTTTATTATCACAAAAAGCATCTCAATTAATGATGAAAGTGTCCAGTTTAATGTTTAAAATAAGAGTAAAGCTAATTTTTTTGTTGCTTTTGAAAATAGCGCGTTTGCTAAACAGCTCATCAAGATTAACGTAAGAGGTTAAAGAAAGAGAAAGATTGAAATTTTCTATTTCTATTATCATTTTATTTTCTGTTGTTTCAATTCAATTTCAGGTTTCATCAACTTCCGCAATCGATGAAATTGGAAACATTTGCCTTTTTCTCCTCTCTCTTTCTACCTGTTTACCCTGTTATAGTTAAAAGTGGTGAAACAAGTAATTCAAGCAAACTCATCATCATCAACATTACTCTCATCATTATCATCATCATCCACCTCCTCCTTTTGAATATCAATTCAAGTCCAACAGACATGATGATCATTATACAGACTGGGTAACAAGCTGTATCAGGCCAGACCACTGCGTTTAACCCGCTATAAGAAAGCAAAGAAGAAGAAAAAAAATCTACCTTTAACAATCTTTTTTCTTCTTTTCTTCTTTTTTCTTCTTCTTCTGGGTTTACTGGGTTATCAGTTTCCTTCTCTTTTTTTGCCCTCCCTCCCTTCACTTCATCACCATAATCATCCTTAATTTCTCTTCCTACTTGTTGATATCTTTTTGTGTTTCTTCATCCCTTGCTCATTAAACTTGCCTGGAAACTCATCTTTTCATCTGCATCCATTGTCCATCCTTTTGTTGTTTAAACAAACAAGATTCCTTTTACTTGTTCAACTCTTCCTCTTTTTTTACCTTCAACGCTTGCACCTTCAACAACATCAATGAAGCCAATGAATAATTTCAAGTTGACTGTTGCCCAGTGTTGGGTCAACTATTTTTGGACTTAAAGAAGGAGCTGAAATAAAAGAAACAAAAAAACTATGAAATTTACAGTAAAAAAGGGAATCTTTGGTCAACAACAAAGGAGAAAGATGAATGTTAAAAAAGGTTAACAGGAAACTGGTTCAACATCCGCAATTTACGTGATTAAATGATGATAGAGTTGATCAAAATTTGGACTAAACTTAGGACCAAAATCTCATAGAGAAACTTCCTTGTTCCGTCTTCCGGGTTTGGACAAAAATATTGAACGCAAACACACACAAAAAAGCCAACCTAAGAAAGTCCATAATAACCACAATAGACGAATTGGCCAGAGAGAAAAATCTATCTTTAGAAGGGAAAGATGATGATAATTTAAGATGTCGAGCAAAAAAATATCCCAAGGATGAGTGAATAAAATGAGGAAGAAGAGAAATGCACCCGAAAAGAGGAAATTTGCTGTTCACATTGAAAATTGTACTTCCTTCCTGGTTTCACACTTTTCCTTATTCCCTTTCAACCCTCCCAATTTCAGGGTCACCACTTCGATCATCATGAGTGACTTGGATTGAAGGATAAAAAATAAGAGTAATCAACAATACAATATCTTTCTAAACCCTCTTGGGTTAAGGGTGAAAAGTGATGATCAATGTCAAGGTGGATAAAAAGTACAGTTGAAAAGGTTTTTATGGAGGGAGAAAGGAAAAAACAAAATCAAGGTAACAGGTAGACTTTTGTGTTACCAAAGGCATATGAAAAGGATGAGAAGAGTAAGAGTGAGTTTTTCACACAGGAGATGACAAAATGACGGCATTTCACCGCAAAAATAAGACCGATGTAAAAAAGAGTAAATTTAATCATTTTTGCAGCTTTTTTACCAATGGGAATGAAAGGTTTACAACAATTTTTCATCCTTTTACTTGTTCACTCTCTCGGTCTACCTTGACCTTGCATGTGAAACCTTTCACTTGTTTAACCTTTAACCAAATCTTTTTGGACATAAAAATATATCAAATCGCATATTGCAAGGCAGTGCGGCTGAAATTTGAACAAAAAGCGAAATTAAATCCGAGACGAAAGACTTGATGCACCATTGTCAACCCAAACGTTTGACTATCAAAGCAACCCAAAAATTTATCAAATAATTCACGTTCGTGGTTTGATCGAGTCAATCAAAGAAGTGTTTTGATTTTTACATTTTAAATCGACTTTAATTTTACCATTAAAAATCAATTTCTAAGCCACAAGAAATGCTTCTAATCTCGAGTAATCCTGAAATATGACTTTTGAGTTTCAGCTTCAATTTAAAATGGATTCACTTCAAACGACGCGCTTTTTCTTGATTGGATCTTCAAAACCTAAAGTAACTATTAACTCGGATGTTATTCATAATGATTTGACTGTTTTGACTTGAATTTAAATGAATTAATTTACCTACAGTTTGCCTTAATTTGATTTAAGACTAAATTTTTAGCTTCACTACCCTATTTTACTGAATTTATTTCTCATCTTTTACTTTGAACATTTTCCAGTTTCTTCAATTTTCTTTATCTTTCTATCTTGACAATACCAATGGTTACCCTGGTTTGCCCACCTTGAAACCCATTTCACCTGCTTCTTGGATTAATTTGAGTTAATCGAGTTGAAAAGGCAAACCATTTCAACTCAACTAGACTTAAATTGATTAACTTTCAATGGAGAAGTGCAAGTTAAAATGGACTGTAAATCCAACGATTCAAGTAATTGATTTTCATATTTTCAACCAATTGTCCACTGAAGACCAGCAACATTGAAACATCTTTAATCACAGCCCAAAATCTCGGAAACAAACATTTCACCATTTAACCTCTCAACACTTAACTTTCATCTAGTAATCCGTAAGATTTGCAAAAGTTACAAGATTAGCTTTGTAATATAATAACAGAAAAGCAAAGAATCTCAGAGAGGAAGACAGAAAAAAAAGAAAAAGTAAAAAGCAGTTTTCATATTTTTCATTGAATCCTTTTCTCAATCCATATTTTCATATTTTGTGTCTCTCCTTCATACCAAATACATTTGCTGGCTTAAATTATTACAGTAAAAATGTATAATAATAGCTTCTTTCCAGTTACAATGAACATATTTACTTATCATTATCATCTTGTTTCAGCCAAAATACAAGCTTTCCACATTGAAAGAGGTAAAAAGTGTTCACCTTCAACCTACTTTTCAACCCTTTTGCTCCTTTTCATATTTGTAACTTAAACTCTCATGTAAATAACTGAAACTGACCCCAGTTGACCCAACGAAGCTGCTCTTTCTTTCAACCTTGTAACCCTTTTCCTTCATTTTACATAAAGATTGTTAAACAATGACGTTCCTAAGGTGGACAAGAAAATGTAAATCCTTGAGCAGCAAAAAAAGAAGGAGAAAAAATGGATTTCATTGACCGGTAAAACACCTTTACTTTTGCCATATTTGTAACTTAAATAGCAAGTAAAATTGGAAGCTCAATTCCTAGTCAATGTTTGTTGTCCTGTCCAATGACTCGAATTTCATTTTCCAATTGACCCTCTCACCCAACAACAAAAGCCAAAGGTTTCAATAAATATTTTGTTGAATTGAATGGTCAAAGACTGAAACAAATCTTGTCACATGAAACACACAAATCATAAAAATTGTATCAATTTGAGCTTTTTGTCAACTCTAATATCACAAATTGAAGTTGAAGAAAAAAGTATCTATTAAAACCCAAAGAGTTGCACTTTCTTAACCTGGTTCAACATTGACTGACAGGATGACATTGACAAACAAAAGTGATAACAGGTAAAAACAGTTTATCAATGCGAAACAATATCGATATTATTATTGATATTATTGTTCATGTTTCAAGTCTGCACTATTTTCAAAGTCTGCCTGTTTTGGGTATTCAGTGTGTATATTTTTGCTGCCTGTTTGGGTTCCTTTTTATCTTTCCCTTTTATTAATAATCATTGATTTATTTGTTACCTTTAGATTCAGTTGATTGTTTTTAATATTGTTACAATTTATATTGTTACACTTATGACATGTTTACATGTAATTTAAACGATTCAACCAATTGTTCATTTGTTGTTGTTGGCCTTTGCTTTTGCTTTCTTTAGACTAACATTTTAATATCTTTTCACTATTCAAACATTAATGTCACTCTGATTTATTTGTTATAATATATCATTTTTATTTTATTAAATATTGTTATAATTAGACCTTTGGTTGGATTAAGACGATTAAGGTGGACAATCCATTCAATTGAAAATAAATAGCTGAGGCTTGTTTGTTTCCATTATTTGCTTTCTGTAATCCGTTTGTATTATAATTTTATTGCTTTGATTGTTATATTAGTAGTGATGATATATTTTGATATTAGATTTTAATTTTGATAAGAAATCCTTTTTTTGTTTCTTCAATTGATTTGGCCGGGCTTTTAATAGATTAACCATCGAGTCAAGAGAGGGCAACCCTTTCTGATCAATTTGTTAAGTGACAAATGAGTTTGAAATTGTTGGAATTTTTTGAATCAATTTCCATTTTTTATTCATCTTGAGATTTATTTGTTTTTTGATTAAATGTGAACGATTTATTCATGCTCAGACTCTTGGTGGTTATCTTTTACTCGATTATGCCATTAATTTGATGTCAATTGGTGCTGAAAATTTGATCGTATGAATTGTACTTTAACGTCTGATCGGATTTTTTGGTAGAGAAGCTTAAAATTTATCAGAAATTGGTTGACTATTATTTCTTCATGGAATCAGATTGTTAGTTCATCATTACTTAACGGTCCTTCTGCCAGTAAAACTGTTATTTTATGGACTTAATGGACTTGCATCTCAATTGCCATTTCAATTGATTATGTGATGGTAAACAGGATCGCTATTTAAATTTTATCAACCCAAATTCATGCATTGTGAATTAATGCTTTTGTAGATTTACGTAAATCAAATCAACAACAAGTTATCCCTGGGAGTTTATTTTCACTCATGTGAAATTCAAATTATCAACAACAATAATGGTGACAATAATACTTGAGCTTTTTTTGTTGTCCATAGTTGGATAGCCAAGCCAAACTGTTAAAAAATGAGTAGCTAAGGTCAATTGTAGTTTACATTTAGACTTATTGAACCTTAGATTATTCCTTGAATAGGGAAAAAATGAGATGTTTGTGTTTTTTTTGGGTTGAAAAAGTACTAACAAGATATTCTTGGAAATTACATTTTCTCCATAGATTGGCCTCTTCAGACTTTGGAAGAGGTTCCTTCAATAAGAAAGGCTGAACATGGTCGTTTTCACAACAAAAAAAAGTGGGAAGGTAACCAGGTATAAGGAAGAGGATCACAATTCGTGGAAAGTGTGGAGCATCATTAAAAGTGGAAATGTTAAGAAAGCAAAATATGGTCCAAGAAGAAAATAGGTAAAAAAGAGGCAAAAGAAAGCAAAATTAAGATGAACCCTAAAAGAAGAGGAAACTTCACACCAAAGGTTACAACAAATTGAGACCAAAAGACAAGTTAAACCAGATAAAAAAAACTCAAGATCATCTTAATCAATCCAATTGTGACTTTAAAGGGAACCAATTGATGCAACCATTGATGGATATGATGAAAAAATGGAATTTAAAAAGTGAATGAAAAGTCAAAGTAATTTCTGCAACAATAATAGGCCTGGAAAAAAAGGTAATCATCAACAGAAAGCAAAGGTTAAGGTCAGTATAGCAATGATTAATTGTACAGGATGGGATAAACCTGGTAAAGAAGAAAGGAATATCATTTAGAGGAGAAGAAATTCAATGAAAAGCGATGACAGTGATGATAATTATGAAAATTCTGCTGAACTAGTTTCCATTGTCTCATCTTTTATGTTTTTTTTTCTTGCCTGACGCCAAAACAAGTGTGTTAGATAATAATGTTTATTATGTATATGTGAATGTTACAGGTGAAGCAACAAACGCGGAAGCAAGTTCATCTTTATGATGTTGACGATGATGAAGATGATGATGGATATGAAGAGGAGGAAAAGAAAGGAAAGAAAGTTTTCAAGGTAAGGTTAGTAGAGGCAGTGAATGGTACCAAGTCAAGCAAATCTCAGAATAACCTTCATCATCCATCCTAACGGGCCATCATCGTCATCATCATCCGTACCTGGTACACAAAATACTTACTCTCTTCTCTTCTCTTTCACCTTTAACAGGTTCCCTTTCTTTTCACTCTTCTCATCTTCATCTCTCTCATCTTTCTCTTTCTTTTTACTTAATTAACTAAATTTTTTCTTTCTTTTTCTTTTAGCCTCATCTTGCTCTCTCTCTCATCTTGGTACCAGTAAGACGATGAGACGTTGGCGATCATTATCATCTTTATCCAATATCAGCTTCACCTTTACATTTTTGGCAATACCTTGAATGACCCGAGAAGGTCACTCAGATACAAACCATTTATCAGGTTAATTCATTTTTGCCACTTTTACTTCACATTTTTTCAATTTTTACCTGCCTAACCTTTCATCGTCTCTTTGGTTCAAACATCCGTATAACCATCATCTTGATCATCATTAACGCTATCAATATTTTCTGTTTGTCTTATCCATCAATTTTATCCAATGTTTTCTCTTTCAGTTTTATCTTTATAAAGTACTTAAAAAATTTCATTTTTTTCTCATTTTCCTTTCTCTATTGGTCAGTCTTTCCAGATAGATCCAAGGTCAATTGGTCTTGCCTTGAACTGTTGTTAGATGGCATATTAACACAATCAACGGATTTTGTTTTTCCTCGTAGTCACAATGAATAAACGATGGGCAAACAATGAGCAACTTGTTTACTTGGATTTTTATCATTTCTGTCTGTATCAGTGTTTCAATATTCACAGCTTTAAGCCTTTAATTCAACAAAATCGATTGAATCTCACCGATTATCTCGGAATAACTTGCATTCTCTGAATAGTGACTCTATCATAATTTAAAATCTTAATGTTAGAATGAAATTTAATCGCGAAAACGTTATTTTATCAAGAGTTTTGCTAATTTTTTTGACTTTCAAAGAATTGTCAACAAGCATAACTCCCAAGAAGAAAAGGAAGATTAAGACGATGATGAGATGAGATGAGAGGAAAAAAAAGGCAGAGATAATTGGAAAAGAGCTTCAAAAAAACTAAAAAATTTTCAATGGTCAAGTTAACTGTAAGTAACTGTTAGATGGTTTACATTTAATGGGTTGATTGGACTAATGAGATTAGGCCATAAATCTCTGTCTTTTCTTGCCTCCAGTGTTGGTCTCTTGGTCATCCTTTCATCTTTTTTACTCTTCCTCTCCTCTTTCCTCTTGTTACAAACCGTTATTTTTATCCTTTGTTCATCATCATTATCATTACTTTTAATTGTCCACTAAACCTCTATCCTGTCCTCTCCTTTCCTTACTTTAAAGTCAAACCAATTGTCAATTTTTTTCCAGTCAAGACATCGATTGCTTGCACTTGATTCATACCTTTTCTTTGATAATCTCATTTTCAAGTGCCTGTAATCCTTTAATTATCCTTAATACACGTATAACTTAGTTTTAACACTTTAAGAGTCTATGCAATTACAGTAACAATTGAGATAAGGCAACAGACTGGAAGTAGCTTTTGTCACCGGGCATTTTGTCACTTGACATTCTTAGCTGATTTCTTGAGTTTTTTGTTAGAAATTTTTACGAAAAGAAATCGATTCAAGTCTTGCAATATTAAAGAAATGAAATTCAAATTAGATTTAACTCTTCGTTGTAATTATGATTGTTGAAACATTGAGTGGATTTTATTTTTTCAGTTGTTTAGCCGTTTGATTGCATCAGATAAAGTTGGTCAAGTAGTGACATCTATAACTTGTAAAGCTAACTAACACAAAGATTTTCTTTGGTTTAAAATATATTTTGGCTTACAAGCTTACATCTGTAGACCTATATATAAACACAACAACACTTATAAATGTATTCCTATTTTTTGTTCACTGTTTTAATTGTTTAATTGGATCACAATCAAAATGTCAGTAAACAAGGAACCTACTTTCATCATGGTTACACCTGAAGGTATTCAACGTGGTTTGCTCAGTGAGATTAAAGATTGTGTGGTCATCCTGGAACGACTTCAACCAGATTTCATTGAATCTTGCCTTAATGGAGGTGAAGAGGAAGCCAAAATCGAGCCTGAATTTACAATTGACTTAACACAATGCTCTCCAGACGACTACAAAACTACTGCGGCTAAACAATCTTCGCTAAAGCTTGACCAGAAGTTATTCTGTTTATTTAATTTGGAAGAATTCGATGACCGCTATGAAGCAGTGCAAGCGTTTTATCGAGAGTTGAGGTATGCGCCATTCCGATGTGTGGAGTGTGATGAAGCCACCGTTGAATTGAAAGATTTAGTGGACCATTACGTCGCTCATCATCCGGGTGAGAAATTGGTGAAATACAAAATTGAAGAGATACCGGCCAAAGAAAGATGGGTCCAAAAATTTATCGACTACCAAATGGATTGTATGAACGACGATGATGAAATGCTTCCGAATAATATAGTTAACAAATATTGTCCTGTATGTAACCAGTATGATTACATCCTTAAATCAGTTCAACCAAAGGCTCGGCTCAAGGTTTCCTCTATATTGGATCTGAACCATATAAATAAACATTTAAGGTACAATCCATATGAATGTGCGCTGTGTAAAAAGCGAGGAAAACGATACGCAATTTCATCTGTTAATAAAAAAGCTCAAGATCATCTTTCTCATCGTCACAATATTGTAAATCCAACGGAGTCTCATGTTAAAATTCATTTCCAACCTTCTGCAACAATACCCGAATTAGAAAACTTTTTGCGTGATTATATTAACATAATCAAAGATAGTGAGCGTCATACAGTCAACAAGCCTACTATGAAAAGGAAACCCTTATCTGGTAAATCTAATCGACAAAACTCTAACAGGGGGAAACAAACAGGACAATTATACAAACAAGCCTCAGCATCATATAAAAAAATGAAAGAGTCTCGAGAATCCGTGAGAAATGGTAAAAAAGCTAATTCTAGGAATCTTGTTGAAGATGCCGAAGATGCGAATTTGGATGATATGGAAACTTTAAGTAAAGATGTAAGATTTTTTTCTGATTTTCTTTTAATTTTCTTTTGTCCCACTCTTAATCTAATCTCAACTCGTGTTCTTTTTCATCAACAGAGTCACAACTTTTTTTGCATTTTTTGTTCGGAAAAAAACCTCTCCGATATTTACACTGCTTGGGGACATTATGGCAACCATTTGAAATACACGCCAATCGTTTGTCAAATTTGCAACAAAAGATTCACTAGTGATACAACTTTTCGATACCATGGAATTGAGCACGTCGAATACTCCGATTTACCCTTTACCCGCAACTGTGATGAAGCTATAGAAACGTGGGGTCATGACTTTTTAGAGGGCATTGCCAATGATTCTGAAGCTAAACCCGAATTTGCTTCATTTTGTCCCGTTTGTGAAAAAATATTCTCCAAACCTGTTGATATACCATCTATCAATGTTACCCTGGTTAAGTCTCATGTATATTCACATTTAAAGTATCATCCGTTTGAATGTTTAAAATGTCAAGATCAAGCTCAATCTACTTTTGTTGGGGATTTGGACTATCAAGCTGCTCTGCACCTTAACGCTGTCCATTCATTAGTAGTGACTCCATCTGAAGTTTCCAAATATTTTGTCAAAACTCGTGGAATTGAATCTCTTGATAAACTGCTTAAAGAGCATTTTGATAAAATTCAATATCTCATTGGAACTCCAATTCTAAGTAATTCAAACAACTGCCCTACCGCTTTATCCAATGTAACCATTAACAACGAACAGCTTGAGATGAATGATGTAGCTATTAATAGTATCTTACACACATTGGAGGAAACATTTGGCGCCAACACTTTGAATAACCTTATAAACTCTGTTGAAGATTCTTCAGGAAAATGAATTCTTTTATTTAGCTACCAAAAATTTAATACTTATGTATCTGGTTTAATTGTTTAATTTGACTCTTTTTTGTATTATTTTTCATTAAATCTTTACTGATGAATGAAACACAAGTTATGAACTTAAATTAATTACAGATTTCCCTTTATTGTATAATATCCCAAATAGTAACCAATCACATTTGAAAATCTAAAAAAAAATCAAAAATTATTGCCAATGACAAAATAACGCCTCGAAATTTCATGCAAACTCTACTTTCTATCAATATTTCTATCATTAATGTTTTTCAAATTACTTCATAAAAGTGGATTCAATGCTGAGCACCACCGAATTTTCTAGATAAAAATTAAAAATGATTCAAAATTATAATTTTTACTTGTTACAATTGAAAAAGATAAATAAAAATTTTTGATTTGAAAATAAAAGCAGTTTTGCTTTTTCGTTATGCTGCCATCTAGAGTAACTAGAGGGGGAAACCACAAATTTACAATTAAAACAATTTAACGACTTTAATGAATTCCCCTCTAGTTACCCTAGATGGCAGCATAACAAGAAGCAAAAAACTCGAGGGAAAAGTTTAAATTGAAAGCCAAACTGAAAAAAAGTGAATCTTGTTACTTGAAACAATTAAATGAGATTTTGTTAACTCGATAAATTAAATACCTTTAAAGTTGAATTTCATTTAATTAACATTGATTCGAATAAATTTCATCCTTCAAATGAAATGAAATGAAAATTTAATCAAACCATTGGATTAACTTTACTTAACAGTAGAGCTGGAAAACAAGGGAACATGAAAATCCAAATGAAACTGGTGTAAAAATAATAACACAACTGGGATGTTAAACTAGTATGGTTACACCATTTCACACAAGATATCAAACCCTCCCAATACAATTGATTAGTAATGTTGAAAAGAGAAAAATCAAAATGAAATGAAGATAAGAGAAGATGATGAAGAAGAAGAAGAAGAAAAGATCAAACTTATGTTAACCTAAATGACGTTCTTTCAAACTCTAACCATGGTTACAACTCAGCATCCTACTCCGCATCTCCTGTCTCTCTAGTTCACTCCATGCTCTCATTCAACCCATCATCATCAGATTCTTTGTCATTTCCATTCTCATGCTGAGTTTCCTATTCTGTACAATTCTGTGACTATAACAGTGCTTGTTTCACCCATAAAACCAATTGGATTAAGCTTAGTTGCTGTTCAACTTGTCAATTACAACCCAAAACAGTGAAAAGAGAGTTGCCTTTACAAAGTTTTATTGCCAGCCAATGTTGAACAATTTAAATTCAAGTTTGTTAAATTAACTTGCACCTTTCACTCGATTAAGTTAATCTTGAAATTATGATAAATGCGATTGAAAATTGTTGCGCCCATCAATGAATTGCCAGTTTAATGTTTCACCAGTTTTACTGTTCAATCTTTTCATTTCACTTGTAAATGGTAAAAGCAGACAACAGTTGAAATTTCAACTTCTACTCATGACTTTTCTAATTCCCATTTCAGTTGTTAATTGTTGTGATCCAGGATTCTTTCCCTGCAATGATTCAGACATTTGTATTGAACAGCGTCTCAACTGCAACAACGAACCCGATTGTCCAGATGGATCAGATGAAGAGCATTGTGGTAAGTAGAGAAGAAAATTGAAAAAAAACTTTTCCATTCCGATTTTTCTTCCAAACTTGCAACCGATGAAATTGTTCATAAAAATAATAATCAGATTGTCATTTTCTGTAAACAACAATAATCGAAATTCAAGATGAGCATCAATAAGGAAAAAAGAGGAAAGAAAATGTATTTTTACATGGAAAATGAAATGAACATTAAGATAGGAATCAAATTGAACTATTGGCTCATTTTTCGCAATAATCATGTTTCGAATTAACTTGGATGAGAAAATGTTGATCACACAAAATGACAATTACATGGAACAGGCTAATATCACTGATTCGTGATCAACATTTCATGATGTTTCCGTTCAATCGTTTCTTATCTCATTTCTTGAAGAGGCAAAAACAGGCAACCAAAATTGAATGCAAAAAAAAGCTCATTTACCGATTATCATTACATAATTGCAACATGAGCTGAATGTTGAAGTAAAGTGAAATATCAAGCAATTAAGACGATTTACTTTTTTCCTTCATCAATCATGTAAACAGCAAAGCATTTAGCTTTTCCTGTGTAAATCGAAAGGTCAGTTTGCATTTGATTTACCATCAAATGGTTATTTACCTAGTTGATCAGAATAGATCAAGTTCATTACAAACTTTTATTCCGATTGTTTCCAAGAGAACTGTTATTTCCAACTCGGAATTTCAATCAGAATCAAGTTTATCGCCATTTGATGATCAGTTTTAGTTTTATTGATTAACTTTGATCGTATTTTATTTCCGTCAACATTTCTTTTGGTTGAAACCAGACCCAAACAAATGGTTATTTACATTGCAAGGGAAAGTCGTAAAAATGTTTCATTCCATTCTTTTGACATGCAAAATGAAGTCGAGAATGAAGTTAATTAAATGCTGTTAACTAATGGCGAGTTAATCTTGAAAATTTTGAGCTTCTTTTTGCAATTTTTCGTTCGTTTTCATGTTTCAACAATAAAACCAGATTAACTTTGAATCTATCAAGTTTAAATTGAGTCAAGGATTTCAATTGAATCCCAAAAAGTCTGTTACAAAAGGTAGGAATCAAGTTGCAAATGATTCAATGGAAGGGAAAAATTACTTAACCTGAGATGAGAAAAAATTGCATTCGAAAGAAATTCTGCCAATTTAACCTTCAATTGCATTTAGCAATGTTAATCTTTAGCTATTTAGCAACTGGAATCATTTTCTTGGAACAGCAGATTTGGTGAAAAATCAGTGAAAAGAGTTGCAAATTAAATTCCAGAGACTTTTGTTTTTGGAAGAAAAAAAGGACCAAAAATGACAAAATAATGCATTTCAATGTTTTCTTTTCTTTTTTCATGTTATCTCAAGTTTTTCATGAAATATGCATGTGCTTCTCTTGAAAATGAAATTTACTTCAAGAGTTGATCTGTTATTAAAGAGTCAATTTTTCTTGGGATTGCACTTGAAATGGATGAGTTTATCGAGCAAGGATTGAGATTTGTTCATTTGACGATATTTTTCATTCGTAAAAACATTAATTTTTATTGTTCCATAAAAATTGATTGAAGTTGCTTTACAAAGTTATTTGGCAAAATTTAAAATCAATCTTTAAATTCAAATGGATTCAATTGCTTGGAATGAATAACATTTGTTAACTGAAGACTTCAATTGAAAGCACTCAGAGCTAATTTAATGAATTTCATTTTCTTAACTTTTTTCTTCTTCGGTGAAATGCTGATCAGAGGACAATCATAAACGCGAATATTGGGACAAGTTGTTTCGAAAGCGTCCAGACGAAGACAGGGAAAAGAAAAATTCAACCAAATGTGCAATGAAAAATATTCCAGGAGAATGTTCATGTTCCATGTTCAATGTTTTCTGTGAACAACAAAATCTTGACAGAATTCCAAAGATTCCAATGGAAGCAAGAATATTGTGAGTAAAAAGTGACTATAAAAAGCACTCTTTTCAATTCAATAACAAATGATAACTGACAACGTTTGGAACAATCGTTAAGAAGATTATCATTTTTCCAGCAAAAAATGGATCAATTTTCATTTTTCATTTTCTATTTTCTATTTTTTTCTTTGCTCATGAAAAGAAAGGTGAAAATGACAAATTTCATTTTTCTTTTCTCAACAATTTTGTTTTTCTTCCTCAATTTCATTGATTCAATATTAAAGTCAATATTTTTCCAATTAGAGATTTATCTGGTAATCGAGTTGAGAAGCTTCGTCGAACCAGTTTTTCCTATTTACCTCGATTGAAAACACTGTAAGTTGCTTTGGGTTAATCTTTTTCAATTAGATATTCATGACAATTCTGTCTTGCGTTTCAGCATTTTAACCTCAACAGAGATTCAAACCATTGAAAAAGATGCCTTTGCCAATTTGCCAAACTTATCGTCACTTTTTATGTCTGGAAATCAATTATACACTATAAATAATAAAATTTTTTCAAACAACTCAAACCTTGTCTTACTGTGAGTATTCAGATTTTGCTAAATTTTGTGTCCACTTTTGTTCGTCGATATTATTTTCGATTCACCAAGCGAATCGGTTCAATGACAATTGACTGACATTCGTTTTACTCATTTACTCATGATTTACCTCTTTGATGGACCAGTTTTCTGTCTCACAATCCAATTCAAATTTTGAAAAATCAATCTTTTACTGGTTTATCTTCACTTGAAGAACTGTAAGTAACTTTAATCCTTCTGTAATGTTCAATTTGGTTAATCGTTTTCTTGATGCATTTGCATTGCCCTTTCTTTTCAAATTAGTGATTTACGAAACTGTCGTTTGTCCAAATTCCCAAAACGAGTTTTTGAACCGTTGGTTAAATTGCAAACTCTTTTGCTCGATGGTAATTTAATAACCAGTTTACCAGCGAAAATATTTCGATCTCTCAACAATCTCCAAGTCTTGTAAGTAAACTTTCATTGACTAACCAAGTCTCTGGCCTTTTCATGCTAACTGTTAGCTCAAGAGTGACTCTTGAAGGCATAAAGAAAACCCAAAAATCTCTTCAATATTCAAGTTACCTACAAAATTCAAAGATGATTTTCATTAAAAGCACTTTGAGTTTGTTCATCGAAAATTAAACTGCAAGTAAATTGTACCTTAACGACAATTTCTAGTTCAACAGTTAGTCAACTTTTCCAGACAACAAGCACGGAAAAGGTGAAAGACTTGCCGTGATGCTTCAAATCATATTCAAACAAAATAACCAGAGAACCAGTTTCATCGAAAAGTTAATTTTTCGAATCCAGGGTTTTCCTAAAACTTTATTGATTCCAGTTGCTGCATAAATCCATGAACATAAATCTCATGAATACTTTTGAATTGAATACCACGAGCATTTGAAATGCACGAGAAATCACTTAAAACTTTTCCCTCAACCTTAGTTTAATAAATCTTTCTTATTTTTAGCATTAACCTAAAAAATAGAGTTTCTCATTAGATTTAAATCTTTTTGCAGATCACTCACAAAAAATCGAATCAATATAATTCAAGATGTTAATTTTATTGGTTTAATATCATTAAGATCATTGTAAGTACAATTATCTCATTAATTACTGATTAATGTGTTGATTCAAGCTTTATTTTTCTCTAAAAAAGGTCACTTTCTATCAATAACATAGAAGAGCTCAAAGATAATGCTTTTGGTAATCTGACAACTTTATTAAAATTGTAAGTAAACAAAAAACTGAAGAAAATTAAAAATGCAAAAACGACGCATTTTACAACAAACTTTGAGCTGAATTGTTGAACTTGGTGGAAATGAATTTCTGATTAATGACATTGTTTTGCAAATTTGGGTTGGGTTGATGGATTTTGTTTTCACCAAATTTGCTTCTGTCAGCTGATAAAAGAGTTGAAAGTAACAAGATAGACTGAAAATGGGCCACGAGAATCAGTGTTTATCGATCATGATTGGATCATTTCAAGGTTTCTGTTTGTGATGGTTTCCCATGTTGACACCTTCATGGAAAAGAAAAAGAATGCCGAGAAAGTGAAAAGTGAATAAAGACAAAATGTATTCAAGTGATGTTCAATTTATTATTGAGATAAGGTTATGGACAAGATTGAATGGAAAAATATTTTCAATAAAAAGATGAAAAAGTCCAATTTCTTGAAAAGTTAACATTTTCGTTATCGAGTTATTTTACTTGTCAATGAATTTTCATGGTAAACACTTTGATGTAAAAATATATTGTCAGGATAAACATACAAATCATACAAATTAGTTTTTCCTCTTTTGAATGTAAACTTGAAATTTCATTTTCTCTCAATTCATCTCAAAGTCTTTGCCTGTTCAAGTCAATCAAACAAAACAAGTTGAACAAGACCGAGAAAAGAGTAAAAATTTGTCAAATTTGAAAAGAAGTTGGATTTGTTTTGGAATCTCTTTAATGAACAACTCGAGACTTTGCATTCGAAACTCGAGTTTGGTCAAATCAAACATTTTCTGTTGACCATTTTGATAACTTCATATTGAAGTCTTAATGATTTGTCTTTTTTCGCTTGCAGAGATCTTCGGAAAAATAAGCTAAAATTATTGGAATCTAATGTCTTTTCCAACTTAAGTGACCTAGAATCATTGTAAGTATTACTGGGAGGATAAAGGAAAAGAGTATAAAAATATCGTTTCAACTCTAATGATAACTGAAAGTGAATAACATTTTGTCTTAAAGTGAACAAGCCAATTTATTATCAACTTTTATCTCTTCCAATTGAAACATATAAATCATCAAAGTAACCGGATTTCATTGACTGTTCAACAACAAGTGAATGATGACGAAAAGAGAAAGACTTTATCATGATGCTCATGATACTGATGGTTATGATGATGATTATGATGATCAACATTATCGATCGAAAAGTTATTGAAACTTTTAGTTGACACGAAATGATAATTGTTTTGACAACAATTTGAAACATTTGCTCATTATTTGGAACTTTTTTCTTTTCTTTTGCAGAGATGTTCGTAAAAACATGATTAAAAAATTGCCATTAAATATATTTGACAATCTTCAGTCACTGACACACATGTGAGTTTGACATTTTTCCCTTTTCTTTGGAACAATTTGGTTAATTGAAATTTCCTCTTTTTTGGGTTTTTTGCTCACTCGACAGATATTTTGATGAATTTCGATTGTGTTCATATGCTCTTCATGTAAGAGTCTGTGAACCACGAGGTGATGGGATAAGCAGTTTTCAGCATCTTTTGGATAATATAGTTTTACGCTTTAGCGTCTGGGTTGTCGCTTTTATCGCCTGTGTTGGCAATGTTTTTGTACTCATTGGAAGGATGTTGATGCATGAACCCAATCAGGTTAGTTGGCAAGTTTTGCAGTTGAATCATTTCATTGACTCTTCTGTTTTAGGTTCACTCTTTTTTTATCAAAAACTTGGCCTTTGCTGATCTTTTGATGGGCATTTATTTGTTCATCATTGCTTATTATGATGCTTCATTCCGTGGACAGTACATTAAACACGAGGACGCTTGGAGGCACTCATGGCAGTGCAACCTTTCAGGTTTCCTTTCCACCCTTTCCTCTGAATCTTCAGTCTTTATTTTAACCGTTATTACGGTTGATCGTTATGCTTCTGTCATCTATCCATTGAGCCAGAAAAGGCGAACCAAAGGGTTTGCCATTAGCTGTATGGTTGCCATCTGGACTGGAGCTGTTGTCCTTGCCTTACTTCCACTCTTGACTGATGACCTTTTCGGTGACGAGTTTTATGGCAACAACGGTGTTTGCCTGGCTCTTCAGATTCACGATCCTTTCAGCAAAGCCTGGGAATATTCAACGTTTCTCTTTTGTGGCCTCAATTCAGGAGCCTTTATCTACATTACCTATGCTTACATCAACATGTCACTAACCATTGCCAGTTCTCGCCTTGGCCTGCGAACAACGCAACAGCAACAAGATCGATGCATAACCAAACGATTTGGCTTCATTGTGGCCACAGACTGTCTTTGCTGGATGCCAATTGTCATCATTAAAATACTCGCTCTTGCAGGTAAGCCAGACATAACATTTGTTCAATCTTCAATCTTGATTTATCCTCAAAAATAAATCCAACGAAAAGTAAAGTCCCAACTCAACTTTATCCATTCATCATTACAATGAGTTCAGCGATTTTCTTGGACAGTTTATCACAGTTCTTGGCTTCCATTTCTTGTCCATTTAAATAGACAATCAAACCTTAAAAGAATCATTCCAACAGAATTCTCAGTTTATTGTTGTTCTCAATAACCAAATGATCTTTTATCATTTACCTTTATTCCTGGTCATTTTGGTTCTACTTTCAAACTCTTTTTCTCTTCATTATATTCATGATTTTTTTTTACTTTGCTCAATTGAATAGTAATAATAAACTTTTCCTGATATCAATAAATGGTTGTGATGAAAAGAGAAACAAGAATAACAATCTTCATTAATGATGTTTGCTGGCAACTAAAATTTATCATCATCAGTTTAATGAAGACTTGAAAGGAAAGGATAACAGATAAATTGTCAGACAATTAGTGAGGAAAGACTGAATTGAATGAAAAAAGAGACTGAAAAATGTCAAGGCTTAACGAACACAAACAAGTTTCTTAAAATTCTTTTGGAATTTTGTTCAACATTATCATCTTCTAATGCAACAAAATTTTTCTGATTAAATTAACTTGAAAGATTGAATAATGATAATGAGAAAAGGGTTGATCAAACGTCGAGGAAGGAAGAAGAAGGCGAACAAGAAAAAAAAAGATAAACTGTTAACAATAGAATGAATGGAAACAATGGTGACTCTGAAAATATCTCATGTGGTCAGGGAGTGAAGAAGAAGGATTGAGAATTTATTCTTGGAGAAACAAAAAAGTTAACAATAATTGATGCTCAAAGGGATGATGAATAGGATGGTAAAAATGTTGCTCCAGAAAAGGTTCAATAGAAGAGGAAAAAAACAGAGTCGCTGATGACGATAAATGTGTTGAGATTAGAATGGATTCAAAGGAACATTTCAAGTTCTGTGGGAAATCCATTTGTTGCTAAGTATGAGAAACTCAATGAATATAAACTTGAACAGAATACAATTGATAAACATTATTCTGAGCAATTCAGTTATTCAGTTATTATTTGATTATTAAACTGTTGCTCGAACAAGTGTTTTATGTTGTAGGCAGAAGCTAATGTTTAGTTCAATTATCCATTTCCAAGTATTTTAATTGCAGGAAAAATATTTCATTTTCACTTAATTTTCTTCTTCGTCATCAACTTCAAGTTTTGTTCAACATCGGTTTTCAAAGACTTTCACCTGAATTTGTCCAAAGTTTTGAGATAATTTTGCTTTCACCAAAAATCATTTTATATTTGTATTTCCATGAGACTAAGCTTGAAATAAAGTTGAAATGTTTTGATTTACTTATTTGAATATTTTTTGTCTTTTCTTTTGTTATTTTAGGTGTTCCAATCAATGATGATCTGTACGCTTGGGTTGCCGTTTTTTTGCTTCCTGTTAACTCGGCTCTCAATCCTGTTTTGTATACTCTTACAACGAAACTTTTCAAGCAACATTTTGCTCGAATAATTGCGTACGGACTTCAACGAAGCAATTCACCTGGAGGAGACAATAATTCTGGTACCTCATTTTCTTCCATAATTATGCCTATTAGAGGTTCTTGTAAACGCTTGAGGGGTACAAATTTGTCTGATGTAAGTGTTAGTCAAGTTTTAATTGGTCATTAAGATCAGTTTCTATTATCAGGGAGTCATTTAGATGATGATCTATCGAATCGCCTTTCTGTTTTTTCCAACTGATTACAAGTCACCAGCTTGAGATGAGTTTCTTTACATTCAATCATTCAAATCGGTTGGTTGGTAGACACATAGACTTGACATCGTCCTGAGATGAAATGAAAAAAGTGATAATTCTTCAACAGTCAAATTCATCGCTTCAATTCTGAAAATGACTTCATTTTTTGCCCAATTTGCGCTTTTAAATTTTGGTAAATTTCTTTCTAATTTGCTTGTATTGTTTCTATTATCTATTAATATTAGGAATCCATGAGACTAGACACAGCAATGGATCAACCAAGGAGGATCTCAGATCACCCTCGAAAGACTCTTTTAAAAATGGATTCAGCTTTCGTAAATATTGCTTATCAGAACAATTGTCAACCTTTCATCGAGAAAAGAGTACAGATGATGAAGATGGTAGAACGGAAACCTTTTAATCAAGAAATTGAATAGAAAATCAAAGAGAAATTTTGTCAAGCAAAGTCTCATCAAATGTCATGATACTTATTTGAAATACATGAATGAATGAACAAAACATAATAAATTCTTAAAAATCATTTAAAGTTTCACTACTTATATTTCCAGATGACTTTTGAAAATCGAACAACTTTTTTTCAAGTTTACAATCAGTTAATGGAAACTCCTAGATTTTTCCCTACAGTAGGAAGACTGGTGATTCGCTACATCGACTGCACTCAAATTTCTGATTTTAAGGAATAGCGGCAAAATTTTGACTTTCGAGTTGAAACTTTGTGGGTTTATAGCGCCATGCAAACTGAGCTTATTAGTGATATCAAAACATTTCTCAACAGACAGTTTTCGAAAAAATTAGGGCAAAGTTGAAACTTCTATCGCCCTATGTTCGCTTATGAAAGCAGATTTTTCACAAAACATATTTTTGTGATGAAAATTTTGTTGATCAATCAGAAAACGCATTCATTTTGAGAAATAAAATTTTCTGTTTCTGTACAATAGATCAGTTCGATTTTCAGTTTAATCTTTCCTTTCTGAGAACGTAAGAGTTAGTTAGCTGAAACTGACTGTTATTACACACCAGGGGTCGAATATTTTTTTTTCATTTATCGATTCAATTCTTTTGACTTTAGCCGATAACCTTAAAACTTTGAACCTCAATATCTCGACCAATCTTTTGGCTATATTATGGATGAATCAATTTAATAAAACACATTAAGAATAAAATTGAATAATGATTTTTCTATTTTTCATTGAATTTTTTATTTCGATTAAACATTTATACATTTTGTTATAAACTGTATTGCATTCCATTCAAGTTAATCTATATCTAATACACCAAATAAAGAAAATACGAAGAACATACAAGCCAGGAGCAATCCAATACCCAATTGGATGAATGGAACGAACAGATAATTCAAAGATATGGGAGAAGGTAGCATTTCTTGTTGATCAAAACCGTCATCTATGCATGAAGGTGATGCCGTTGCTCCGAGGTAACATTTAGTTTCTATTTGCAGCAATTTTTTACTGATGGTGATACCGAACTCTGATGCCGAATACAATCCATTCACAATTATTCGGTTTACAGAGACTGAATTGAATTTATTTATCAGAAATCCATAGACAATGTGGAGAACTTGACTCTCAGATTTACTATAAGGTTCGTTCAAAGCCATTTCTTGATCGTAGAGACAACCATACGATTTAGTGATTTCAAAGCCTTGCTCATTTTCAACTGTTGCAACCATCTCTCTGGTTCTGTAAGCATATATATCATGAACTGATTTATCACGGAAACTACAGATTGTAGATTTCTCTCTTACTCGACCAACTAGTGCATCTTTTGAATTCAGAAATTCGTGAGAACACATGGTGAAATCAATTGTTGACGTTGTAAAATTATTATCGATAACATCTTGAAAAATCTCAAGATTCAAATAGTCCATATTTTGAATGAGACCAGTTTTAAGTGAATTGGACAATATTTTACTAACCATTAAAAAGGCCGTGGCAAATAGCAGAAATAGCAATTTTCTTTTATCCGATAAAATATGAGAAAAGTTCTGACCTAAAAGGTAATCAATCTGCAACCAAAAGACAGAAAGCAAAGTTTTGTTGAATGATTTGGCAATAAGTAAGGTCAAAAGAAACAGAAATGAAATAGACAATCCCAGCAAGGCAAACCAAAAGGTTGGATCAAATGTGAATATAAAATCGGAGAATGTTAAATTGTAAATTGAACTTTGCAGTTTTCGCTTAGAATATGATAAATAACAATTATCTTCCATTGCACCGGGACCAGAAGTTAGATTCTCACCAATCGTATTCAATCCATTCAGTGGGAAAAAGTAATTCAAGTCAATCTCTGCTTTTTGCAGCACACTTAAAGGACTTGTACAAATACCATTGTCTCCGCAATAAAACTTGGACTTTTCTGGTAAAATTTTCAGTGTAACATTTGCTTTATCGTAAATGTAATAAAAGTCTTGGGATAAACACTTTTTATTAGCAATATTTGCAGGGATGTTTGCAGCAATGCCAAATCGTAGCTGAACCATTTTCATATAACTTGAGCCGAGATAAAAATGACTTGATTAGAGTATTTCGATAGACAAATGAAAAGTAACTTTTATTAATACATTTCAATCACAGACGTGTTAATATCAGACTGTCTCATGCTAAGATTGAATACAAAAAAGTTTTAATGCATATTGATGAATTCCAATATTGAGTATATATTAGAATTTAATTATTAATAGTAAAATATATGCTTAAATATAGAGATTGTTTCACTTTTAACCGAAAAACTGGAAAAGTTGAATGCTAATGACTTTATTACCATTGATTTATGTATCAATCGTTTACTTTTTATCAAATTAAAACAATTTTATTATTTTTTTAATTTTGTCACAAAAACTCGCGCGTTTGGTCGAAATCTTTTTTATTGAATTTTTCCTGAGTCTGGTAAAATTTTCTGCTGCTGCACTTTCAAGTATCTTTCGATGCAAATTTAAAATGATCAACTCGTTACTAACTGACCATTTGATTGAAATATTATCGATATTGTTTGAAAAACATCCAAGCTATCAATGTCTTCTTTGTATATAATCAAATATATCATTATTTTTGTCATTAATTATAGATATATTGATAAAGAGCTTTACTCCCAAGATGTATTTCAATTCTGTTCATCTGTTGCTTAGCGATTCATTAGATGGTAGTTTGAAGTTGAATCACTTTGATCGATAAATGCAGTCAAAAGCTGGAGCCACTGTTTGTATTTCCAGTAACATGATTGAGGTTGAGTTGCAGTTGAATTCTGTTGGTTTACCAGAGCACTCATTTGCTCATGAAAATCTTGAAATGCAAAAGAATATGAAAAGAAAGTGAAAACAGATGATAACAAGGAAGCTCTTAAACTGAACAAAAGTACGCATTCTCGATCAAATCTTTGGCTCACATTTTCGCGATTTTCAATTTCCATTCATTCATTGTGCGCTCTTATTCAATCATCATCATGTCAACCTAACAATTGAAAAATCACAAAAAAAGACGAAAAGTTCATCTCAAATATACCTTTCAATTTTCATTCAATTTTTGTTGGAATAAAATAAATTCCATAATTTTTCTGTAAACCAAATTCGCAATAAACTTAACTTTCAATTCGTTTTCAAAATCATATCATTCCTTGCATATCCATAAACTTGTGATTGAACAAGTGATTGTCTTTAAGAATAGAACTCAATCAATCGATAAATTTCAAGAAATTAAAGTGAAGCAAATTCTGTGCCACTCGGAGTAATAAACGTTACAAGAAAAGAAAAGTTTCTTAAATTTCGATCAAAAAATAAACGCAAGGATTACACCATTAGCCATGCCGATGAGTCAAAGGGAAGTTGACTGTAGTCTGGTTGAGAATCGGTGAGTTTTCCCTTTAATCTTTATTTATCTCATGCAAAAATTTCATTTCTCAACTGTTCAGTCAAAGTTGGAAAACTCGATGAAAAGAAAAAAGAATTCGAAACGAAAAAATGAATGAATCAAAAACTAATTTGAAGACTCAATTACTTGAACGAAAAACTGTACAAAAAATAGAATCGATAAAGTGACGAAAGATGAATAACAAAAGTGAAAATTGTAATTATCAGCTCATCAACTCAAATTTTAATTACATCTTTATTAAAATACTTAATAAGTGAACACAAAACTTGTTCACTCATCAGCCGTTTATAATTAAAAATATTTTCCATGAAATTTACTTGGATCAACATTTAAATTAACTCCCAGTCACTCCAAGTTCAAACTCTTTACTCGAGATTGTTTGCAAATTCAAATTGTACAATAAATCAAAACTCAGATTGAGACTCCATTATGAACCGGGACAAAATGATTAATCTTCAGGTGAGTGTGTTTCTGAAAAAAGGTAAACTCTAAATATCTCGTCATAATAATGACAAGGAAAAGAATGGATTTTTGTATAATAATGAATCTGCCAAGGGAATGACAAGTAAAGACGATGAAGGGTGAAACGTAAAAAAAAGAGAAACAAATGCAAGTTGATGGATTGTTGATTATGATAACTTTCACTCCCAGTGAACATGAAAAGAATAATGTCAATTCATTGGATTATCATCGCAACCATTCCAATGTCAGTCATTCTCTCATTTACCCTGTTTATCTCCATTTTGTTTATACTTTTTTCTCCTTCCCTTTACCAATCGTTTCCATGTCTTTATCAATTCCATCGTCAGCCAATAATGACAAAATTCATCTTGAAACCAGAGTAAAACTGTCTTGATAAATGAAGTATGAAAAAGGCATTATATTCAGTAGAAAGGGAAGAAGAAAGAAGGAAAACAAAAACAAGGTGAACAGGGAAGAGAAAAAAATGTCTCAGGAATAGAAGAGAATTGAATAGTAAGGTTTATCATTTTCCCATGAAAGGAAAAAGTCTTTGAACAATTATCTAAATAGCAAATATGGACATTCCTGAAGTGAAACAAGAGTTGATCCAAAGTTGAAGCTCGTCAATCCAGGCTATTCATTTTATCCCAACGACTCAATATCAGAAGCTTGGGATTTACAGAAAAACTTGTTCCATCGTTCGTAATGAGTTATGACAGGGTCAATTGAAACTCGAACTTGAACAAGTTGAAACAATTTAAGTTCGAGTTCTTTCATTTGTTGAAATGATGAAAACATTTGATGAAACAAGAAACTTGAAAAGAATGATTAAAGAGGCAATTTTTCTCCTCATGATATTCTGGGAGGAAAAATAAAGGTGAACAGATAATGCCAGTAAAGGAGGGTGACAGAAAGCCTATGTAAAACTGTGAAACCCTTGAGCTGCAAGTCTTGCTTGATCGATAATCAATGGTTTGCATCGTTTTCAAGCCGAAAAGTCCAATCCTGTGATCCAAGTGAAGCTGGAAGAGAAACTCATTTCCCTTGAGCAAAGTAAACCAAGCTTTTATTTTTCTCATGTTTTCCCCTCGACTTTATTCCAATCTTTTATTCAGTTGGTCATTTCATTGTTTTTATACTCTTTTTGCTAGCCGAAAAGTCCAATCCTGTGATCCAAGTGAAGCTGGAAGAGAAACTCATTTCCCTTGAGCAAAGTAAACCAAGCTTTTATTTTTCTCATGTTTTCCCCTCGACTTTATTCCAATCTTTTATTCAGTTGGTCATTTCATTGTTTTTATACTCTTTTTGCTTCTTCCCTTGAATCCAATGAATTTCAATCATCAGATCAATTGTAATGACAATTTTTTTCTCTTCTTCCTTCAATTTTTCCATTCTCTTGAACCACTTTCATGCTTTCAACTTTTAGCTTTTACCTAATGGCAAATTACACCGTTATTATACTGGCAAGAAAAAGAGTCAACATTCTGTTAACCATTATTGTTCATTGTTATGATTATAGTTATCATTCTCATTACGATTGCGTTAACAGTAAATTCAATTGATTTGCCGAATGAAATTCGATGAGAAAAAAATGGAACTGATTGAGTAAACTATTTTTCAAACTTTTCTTCATTCACCATTCAAGTAAACAGCTTTTTAAACTCATGATGGAAAACGGTTAGACTGGGAAGGTTTGCAGGGAGTGAAGAAGAAAAAACTATTCAATTTATTTCAACCCATGGAATGTAAAAGGTTTCGAATTTTTTTTTTCTCGAGCAAAAAAAAGGTTCAAATGATGATCAAATGAAACTTTGGTTGCAAGTATTGGATGATAATGTACAATTTAATGATGAAATAAGAAGATAACGAATTGTTGGTGACGAAGGGAATGAGGGAAAAAAGAGGATCGAAGGAAAAAAAATGTTAGATAAACATTGATTAGATTGAATTTCGTGTGTAAATTCAATTTCACTTGATAAAGGTGAATATTTCAATTCAAAAGTGACGATATCTCTGTAATTGAAGGGGAAAGTTTTTTTTCTCTACCAAAATACCACCAAGATATTGATGTATTTTCAGACAAAGTTCAGACAGTTGCTCATATTCAACTCTCAATTTTCAGGGTTTATTTTTCTTTGCACCTTTTGAAGGAACTTTTTTTCTTCGTTCAATTACAAGTGAATCATTTAGAAATTCATTTGATATGGAAATGGAAAAAGTGAATATCATGAGTTGAATATGATGAATATGGTTTTGGATTATAATGAATTCATCATTCATAGTTGGTTTCATTTTAAGTGTCGAGTCAATTGTTGGTTTCTTTTCATTATGCTAATCGATTCATGCTTTTTGCCATTTTTGGATCAACATTGAAATTTCAATTTTTATCTCATGAACAATTTAATTTCAAGAACGAAAATGAAAAGTGTCCAAAGGTAATAATGATAATTGAATGAAAAAAGCGTAGGTTTGTGACTCTGTGTGGGTTTCGAAAGCATGTGTTCGAATCCAGTTTTTTTCATTTCTAAATGTTTTCTTGAAAGCAACAAATGTTGACATTTTTCAGTGGAACAATTGATTGTCCTGTAAGAAGATTGACTTTGATTGAATCACTTGGAACAAATGCTTACTTTGTTTATTCATTAATCAAATTAAAAGTGAATTGGTCTGAATAAAAGCCTGAAATGACAGGAGGCTGAACATTTTCGTTTTGCAATTTGTTCCAAAATGAAGAAAAATTATGAAAGAGTTTTGATAACCTGCAATTTGCAGATTGATTCATCATCATGAGCATGATGAGCATTTGAGTAGCTTTAATCTAATTTTAGTGGAAAATGAAATTCTAATGGAATAAAAATAGAAATTTTATCAACTTTTAATAACTATTTTGTTGTAAATCTTTTTTTCCTCAATCCGTAAGTTGAGTTGAATTGAAGTGCATCAAAATAATTGGAGTTGAAACTTTTACAGGAAACAAGTGAATCACGCCAGTTCTCAACGAAATTCAATGTTGCTTCATTTCATCATTTTACGTTGTTTAAAAGAACAAGAAAAAATAAAAATTGAACATCTTTTCATGTTCAACCTTTTTTTCTTGCTCTTCTTCACGATAATTAATTGATGATGTTGCTCCATGTACATGGTGATATACTCTTGATATTGATTAAATTCGTGACCATGTTTGCTCAGGTTTACATGGGAAAGTATAAAAGATTAAAAAAGGTTAAAAAACAAACTTGGCAACATAATTTGTAAATAATGAAACTTTTGTTGACTCAGGTTATTATCATTAAAGAGATGCTTTGTTTATCCGGCAATCTTGAGCAACGAAAAGGCTTTAAACGAGTTTCCCTTGAAAAATATCAAAAGTTGAATGTTTCGAGCGAGATTGTACTCTTGATTCAATGCATGATGAACTTGTCAAGATTGGAGAGTAAAATTGCGAGGTAAATCTTGAAAAGAGATTACGTTGAAGCGGATTCGAGAGGAAAAAAGGTTCACCAGGAATCAAGTCTGTAAACCATTATTCACTTTTTTTGCTCTTTTCAAAAATTTTGCTCAAAAATAGAGCATTTTTAAACTTTCGTTTTGCTCGTCTGAACAAGTCTCTGTTTTTTCCTCTTCTTTTTTCCTTCTGTTCAACGTTCATTAATACAATAACTTTTTGCTCAACAATAATGATGACATTTGTGTGTTCACATGAATAAACAGGAAAACAAAAATGCCAGATGAATGTAAATGTGTGTAAAAAGTGTTCAAATAGTTCAACTGCAACTTTACCAATTTGCGTAAATAAAGTTTAGATTAAATCCAAAAATAGGTAAATATAATTTTCAAGTTTTACTTCATTTCGTTTCCTGTTGCTTTCAACTGTAAGAAGTGTCAAAACTTATTTTATAACAATATTAACTTTTACTGTTTCAGGTAAACAAAAGTATTGAGTTGAACGTCCAACTCGATTGTTGATTTTGTTACAAAGTTTTCATTTTACTTTGAAATTTTTGAGCAAAGTTGATCAAGATTTTCGATGTTGACTTGAACTTAGCATTGGAAATGTCCATCAATGTATTTGACTTTAGAATTCGCGGTCAAGTTTTTGTTTGTTGGGAGTGAAGTGAGTTTGGAAATGGAAGGTTTAAAGATTTGAATCAAAGTTTCATTGGAAACGAAAAGAAACTTTGAGAATGGAATGAAATGAAATGGTTTATTCATTTATATTAATGAGGTTGAAGAAGCAATTCAAAATTCATGAAACGGAAGAAATGAAATTATAAAAGTCAACCTAAAATTGACACTTTTCAAGTGATTAACCTTACAAGATCTGACAGATATTTCTGGATACAAAATTTCGTCAAGCTTTACTTGAGAAAAAAGTAAATTCTTAGTTCGAGAAGCTATTAAATTGAGCTTTTACAGCGTAATTACAGCAAACTTTTATCTACCTTTCTTAAGTATTTAGCAAAGAATTTAAAGGTTCGATAGCAATTATAGTGATTCGGATAACTTCGAAATCTTTC